GGTGGCTACCAGCAGGGCGGAGGCTACGGCGGCGGCCAAGGTATGTGCTCGACGAGACTGACTTCTGACTTCGCGACATCCGCTGATCTTTCACAGAGGGCGGCTACCAGCAGCAGAACGGTGGCGGCTACGGCGGCCAGCAGCAAGGCGGATACTAGTAGTGCGGCCACTCACACGACCTTCCTCTGTTCTCTTCACACACTTCTTTCAAAAGTTGGAGCGGTGGTTTCAGAACGATGCAGATGCGGGTCTCGGAGCATGGGTTTCTAGGATGGGCATGCGTGTTTGACCAGCCGCAGAGTACTTCTTCAGCAGGGCTGCTGTTTGTGATTCGGGTCTGGAATCGAGATCAAATGATACCCACGCTGCTGCGGACAGTAGCTAGGCTTTACGAACTAGCCTACAGCTTGCGATGAGCAACGTCATGGCATGAACTCATGAGTCTGATACGTACATTCTCCATTTGTGTGATGCAACTTGAGCCAACTCGAGGTCAGTAGGTCAAAAATTGTGATTGCGAAGTAGCATTCCGAATGACTTCCATAGCCACAGTCTGGTGTATAAGCAGACTTCTTGTGAGGCTTGACATGTCGTCCTCGGTCAAGAGTTCCGAGTTGCTGGGCTTGCAAGGGAGAAAAAGCTTTAAGCTTACACCGATGCATATTCTTCGGAATAAATTTCCACTCGGCTTCCTCACCACAACCATGCCCACACAAGTCAAACTTAGGTTATCACCATGCACAGAGACGTGATTTCGAGATAACGTCTGAATACTCACCCCACCACTGTCGCACAATCCAACACCTTCCATCGCAAACATGGCCGCCGCTCCGGGCCCGAAGCCGTTGAAGTTCACAGGTTCCAAGCACCTCATCAGTCGTCTAGTCCTAGCCACCTTAACAGGACGACCCGTACGAATCTCTCAGATCCGAGAATCCAACCACAACGCACCAGGTCTTGCGCCCCACGAAGTTTCCTTCCTGCGACTCCTCGATGCGATCACGAACGGCTCCGAGATTGTCTTTTCGCAGACTGGCACAACGGTGGCATACGCGCCAGGTCTGATCACGGGTAGCGCCGCAGGACATGGGGCAGCAGGCGGTGTGATACGGCATGAGCTGCCTGCAGATTGCTCAAGAGGCGCGAGCTTCTTCCTTATTCCGCTGTGTCTGCTCGCGCCGTTCTCGAAGGCGAAGATGAATGTGCTTTTGACGGGACCTGGGGTTATTACTTCTGCTACACCGAGTGGGGATGTGTCAGTGGATACAGTCAGGACAGCGATTCTGCCTATTTTCAAGAGCTTTGGTATTGAGCGAGATTTGGAACTGCGTGTGCTGCGGAGGTCGAATCCTGGGCCTGGCGGAAGAGGTGGAGGAGGAGAAGTACAACTTGTCTTTGGACATCAGGTTAGACTGCCAAAGACGATACATTTGCTTGATGCTGGAAGGATAAGACGGATACAAGGCGTGGCGTACGCGACGGGAGTAGCAGGAGCAAACAACGCGCGCATAATCCACGCAGCGCGAGGCGTGCTGAACGAGTTCGTGCCAGATACGAGGATACATTCAGACGTGAGCTCCGCACCACTCATACCAGCGCCAGAGCGAAACAACGCGAACGCGAAGAAGAAGATAGGTCTAGGCTTTGGATTGAGCTTGGTGGCGGAGTCAAACACGGGGGCACTGTACTCGGCAGACGTCGCGAGCGATCCTAGTGGTGGTGAAGTTCCAGAGGATTTGGGCAAGAGATGTGCATACCAGCTGCTGGAAACCATTGCACAGGGAGGGTTTGTGTCACACATTGCGGCGCCCACAGTTTTGACAATGATGGCTATGGGCAGCGAAGACGTGGGAAGACTAGCGATTGGGAAAGAAGTGCTCGGAACAGAACAGGTTGTTCAGCTGGCTCGGGATCTGCAAGCATTTGGCATGACAGGCTGGGGCATCAAGGAGAGCGACGAGGAGGGCGAGGCTCTCATCTCTATCGTAGGACGAGGTGTTGGTAACGTGGGACGTAAGATTGCCTGAGGTGGCTGCGTGGTGAATGAACACGGCGTCTCCCGCTGCTGCAGTCGTCATGTGAAAACTTCTCATTCACTCGGGGTCCGTGCCCGGCGGATATACGTTGGCCGACCTTCTGTGCTGTGACAACAATCGCACTGCACACCCGAGTCAATCACCAACTTCTTTCAACATTCCATCGGAGTGCGGCGCGCACTACACGCTGCGGTTCCTCACTTCTGGCGCGCAGGTGAGCTTTGGCCGACTGGCGCAGGCGCTTCACAAGAAGCCGCGCGTCTTGTTGTTGTTCATCTTTCTGACTTCTTTACACACAGACAGGAGTTGACTCGACATCCCATTTCGCAACACTGATCGGCACCTTGTATCTTGGCTACCTCGAGCCAGGGACGGAGAGATGGAAGAGGACGACAGAGCACCTAGCTCGCCTCGAGCAGGTGACAGCTTCGAAGATGATGCGGGCGCACCAGTCATGTCCTCACCAGGCGGCGTGGACATGGATGATGGCGACAAAGCCCCTGGCTCCCCTCGAACAGGCGACAGGTTCGAAGACGACGCCGGCGCCCCTGTTGTGTCCTCACCAGGCGGCATGGACATGGATGACCTCGAGTGGACGTTTCCCTCCCCAAGCGTGTTCCACTTGCCCGCCACCAGCCTGACGCTCCGCGACGATGCGATCATGTGTGCATGCCCATCCGAGGTGCGACGTGATACAAAAGATATCGCGAAGATCCAGACTGGGAGCACTTTCACCTGGATCCACGTTCCCTGCAAACCACTACTGGCGCAGGTGTCTGAAGCAAGCACAGCAATGGCGAACATGATCCTCGACCGCGCAGCACAGTCCACTGGAGACACTGACGATATGCAAACACTCCCCGAAAAGTTGTTGGCTACCACACTTGGGCCAAACAAGACACAGCAGCAGCTGCAAAAGGTTCGAAACCTCACCTCGACATTCAGATGCGATGGCCCATGTCGTGGCTCGACCGATTACAACGACTACTACTGGTGTCAGGAGTGCTATGGCTGGCAGCACAAGCCTTGCATGCTCTTCGGAGACGGCGACGTTGGGCGTCCAGTCTGCAACGTGTGCTATAACAACGCAATGGCCCACAAAGAAGAGATTGAACGCTGGCAGAAGAAGAGATTGGCTCAGGCAGGGCTCGAGGCATTACGCTTCATTCGTGATCCAGAGAACGCAGACAATGAGGCGGGTCTCGCTTTCGCGCGCAACTTCCTCGGGAGTCTTGTTTCCAAGGTAAGCCTCTATTTACTGGCACATTGTGATTGCTGCTAACAACATGTGTTAGAATCGAAACAACTTCCTCCAATTTGTCGTCAACCGCCGCCGTGTCATTCGTTGGCTCAAAGCTCGCCGTGATCTGAAGCAACCTACCTATGGCAATGCGACTCGCCTTCCCGCTATCGAAGGCAACCCAGACGAGGTCTACGACCCAGCGGCGCTGTTTGCTCCAGCAGCCCCGCGACGCCGTAAGAGACGCGCGAGCGTAGGGTCAGCAGCTACCGGTGAGGATCACGATGAGCACTCGGACTTCGAGGACACTATCGTCGTGGGGAGTGCGAAGGCCGCGCGCAAGAAGACAGCATCGCGTAAGGCTAAGGCTAAGCCAGCTGCTCCTCTTGAGCCACTTGTGTCTGAATTGACTGCAGAGGATGAAGCTCGAAACGAGATGATGAGAAAGATCGCTGAGCGCAAGGCCCGCAAGAAGGCTGCGGCTTCTGCTGCGGTCGGGGCCGAAGACTCGCCCGGAGAGCCACCAGCAAAGCGAGCAAGACGAGCGACTCTGCCACAACAGAACGAGTTCAATGCCGGTGATGAAGATTTCTCAGATCTCGGTATTAATACAAGCAGGCAGACGTCGCGTGCGCCCCGCAAGTCTGCGCCATCCGCTGGCTGGAGCCGTGGGTTCGATGATGAAGAGCCAGAGCCTGCACCCAAGACACGCGCCAAAGGCAAAGGCAAGCAGCGACAGGCGATCGAAATCGACAGTGCAGACGAAGAAGAGCAGCCTGCTCGGCGACCTTCTCGCAGCAGAGCCCAGCGTGGCGATGCGGGCCAGGAGCGGCGTCAAAACGAGCAGTCCAAGATCATGTGCAGCTGCATCGATGTGGCACCAGACTCCAACCGCTTCAAATGTCGTGGTTGCGACTTCTACCAGCACGTTGCTTGTGCGCCTGTTCAAAGCAAGAAAGAGAAGTTGTGCAAGCTGTGTGTGGGTAGTGGAGTCGTCGCACGCCCTCCATCTGACGCCCTAACATCGACTGAGGCCCGTCCGTTGAGCTCGAGGTTTTCTGGCGCTCCAGGCTCAAGCACATTGCGCGCTCCGTCGCTTGCAGGACCTCCGATGATCCAAGCAGAGCCAAAGAACGAGCCACTCGGCGCAGACATGCAAGGCGAAGTACGCACTCTCTGCTCCACCGTCCTGTGGAACGCCTACTGCGCCCTCCAAGATCCCAATGACCCATCCGATCACATGAACACCAACAGAGCAAAGACCGCTCCATCCTCCGACTGGTCCGCCGAAGCCGAGAAGCGTCTGACGCTCATTTTCGAGGCTGCCGGTAAGGGAAAAGTCGAAGAATACTTGGTTCACGCATTAGGCTTTCCACGCAATCAAGTCAACATCATGAAAGCTTTGCGAGACTTTGGCATGTGGGCGCGCAGCTCAGGCCCCTTTCGCCGTTCGAGGAAGGATTTGGGTCTTCTCAATGAGATCTTGGGGTTTGTCGACAAGGGCACGTACTGGCAGGAGAAAGATGAGGCATAGGTTGAGAAGATGATGCATAGGACGAGAAGATGAGAAGCCTAGGATGAGAAGACGGAGAGGCACTGCTGTGAGTTGTCGAAATCCTGAACAGGACGACACATTCACTCATCAGGTCATTACACCACTTGTTTGACTACTGTACGCTGAAGCTGATGAGCCCTAGTTCTGCTGGTTAAGCTATTACGCGGCTCGCTTTGGTTACGATACATACGATGGGTTTTGGAAACTATGCGGGTATTGAATGAACATGGAACGAAGTGCGATATGATTCTCGCAAAGCATAGCGAGCTAGCAACTTCGGAAGCAAAAAAGTTTTGTGTCTCATGATTGATCACGATGTCTCAGTTATTCCGTACGCATCTCGATCTGATTTCTGTCGGAAGTTGTAGAGTGTCCTCGGTACCGGCGGGCTCAAACTCGGGTTATGGGTATGCTTATCCGATGGGCTGATGCTGTTCGGAAGAAATGATTAGGTGAGCATTTACACGATCCGTACCTGACCCTACACAGCAAAATGGAAACTCGGATACATGCACGCTTTGCGATATCTCTCGCGACCTTGATCCCATAATTGCGTTGCTTGTCCAAACGGAGCGCCTTAGCTACGCTGTACAAGGCGGAGATACGAGGGTCGAAAGGGCAGTCGAGCTTCTCGGGCGGAGGAGTACGCAATGTTCATCCTAGTCTCTGTTTTGCTTTCCTGTGGTAGCCTTCATGCTCGGTTCAGTGATAGCACGAATTGGGACATTACAGCTGCTGCTCAGTAGTCAGGATAGTCTACGCGAGAGACACGATTGTACGGAGTACTTCCAGCCTTGACACGAACTACCAACGAAAGTTGAATGTTCGTCGAAGTCTACACCTTTCTGCTGATGATGTGCTCGCATCGAGGCACCAAACGATTTAAGGCTGGGATGATATCCTCGACCATTATAAGATTCATTTGACATGTGTTGGATGACCAGTCTAGGATCTAGGAAGCCTCAACGACATCCTTCTCGAACCATGGCTAATCCATACGTCCATGCGGCTGCGGGAATTTTTCGAAGAATGCGGGATAAGGGAATTCTTCGAGAAATGCGGGATAAATAATAGGAGTCGACCAACGGATGAAGTTCCATCCCACAGCCGAAGCGGTTGGTAGAGCCGCAGGGTTCGGGCGAAAGTGAGGGCGAGAATATCGCGTGAACGAAGTTTCCTGGAGTAGCCCTACAATGGAGCCTCGCAGTAGCCGACTTACCCAGCATGCCTGCACCATGCCCGTATCAAAAACTCCACCAATATCGATTCGTCCACAATCCCCTTTGTTTTGAGAGCCATGCCATCTGACATGCGTTTACGCCTTGTCCAGCGAAAGAAGTGATCGCGATACGACAATTCCGAGCAAGGCTGTCCCGCCTAGAATTTCCGATATCTCTTTTGTGGCGTGTCGTTGACTCGTGTCGTATACCGAACGGCGGGAAGTCCGCAGTGATCGGCCGTTCGACCGGCACTCTATATTCCTTGACCATGTGACGGGGCGCTGTAAGGACCGCATCTGCGGCCTGGCAGGCGTGGAATTTCGGAGCGGTCTTCATACCGCAGTTGCAGGAACTACATATTTCCTCGCGCTCGCCTTGCCGGTATTTGAGGATTGGATCATGTGTCTCCTCATCGCATTTTGCTGAGCGCTGAAGTACTGCAGGCCTTTCCGTTGTTGCTCTGCATGCGATCCCACGCCTACGACATTCGCTACGATCGAGATCCGTTTCTCGCAAATGCTCAGCAAGCAGAATACATGAGTCGCGATCAGCATGAGATCGAATCTGCTGCGGGATTAGACGAAGAAACGGGCACTCGCACGCCGTCTTTGCTGTTGGACGACTTCCTCACGACATCCAAGACCAATTCGCAGGACGCATTAACGCCTCCGAGGCCCATGCAACTGGACGAAAAGACGCTCGAAAGTATCGCACCCTTTTTGCGCCAGGCCACAGCCAATGAGATCAACTTCGGTGTTGGAAATTCCCGTCCACTGCCTGCGCAAATCCCGGATGAACAACATCCGAGCAGTGATGAAGAGCAGACGAAATGTTGGCTCCGTCGGGTGATAGCAGGTACTGCAAGCAGATTTGCGATTCTTGGTCGTGGACACAAAGTGAACGACTGCACTTGCTGGATGTGTGACTGGCAAGCGTTCACGGAACGCTGCGAATATGCCGACCGGCTCGCCGCCGATTTGGAGGGAGAAGCTGGACGACGCAATGCAAGATGACTTTGAAAAAAGGTCGTGTGAGATCTAGTTCTTTCACATATGCGGCATGCTACTGTAATTCAGATCCGGCTGGTACGTATTCTGGAGAAGCAATTGGCCATTCGAAAGGAAATCCAGCTCGCCCATGAAGAAATTGTCCATGGCCACTCCGTCATTCCAGTTCCCGGACATGTCAAACAAGCTCTGGTCGAATGTCGGTTGGCTCATGGTTACATGAGCATTGGAAGGCACCGGCCTCGATGGATCCTGCAGTGCGGTCTTCTCGAGCAGTGTTTCTGCTCCTTTGGCGACGGACACGAGCAAATGCCTCGAATGCATGTTTGTGGTGATTTTGTTGAGCACGACAACCAAGTCTGCGACAAGACCCCGAATTTCTGTGGTGTCGACACGCAGGGAGGTTGCATATTTGGTGGAAACTTTGAGGACGAACACGACCGCAAATGCTATCATCACATCAAAATATGTCGGCAAACCGTTTAGATGCCCTTGGATTTCCTCATCGTCCCGGACAGTGCCGAGGATCGCGGTGGCCGAAAGCAGTGCCTGGTTCGCGAGTTCATCGATCTCCTGTGCCACATTGGGCGCTCTGAAGCCTGGCTTACCGATTCCCCGAAAGGCCATGGAGAAGAGATAGAGGCGGGCGAAGTGGTAGTGCATAGTCACGCCCTTCCTGGGGTAATTCCCGACATAACGATTCGAATGGAGGCGCTGGGTCCAGTCCGCTCGGATGCGGTCGAGGCTGATCGAATGCCGTCGCACTGGATCGATGGCACTCACGTCAAGTGGCCTCTCCACGTCCACTCCGAAAGTTTGGTAAATATCGCTCCCCACGGACCAGAATTGCACCTGCGAAGCCAGTCGAAGATCATCCTCCACCGCATGTTCGGTCTCGATAAATTGCAAGATCGCTCGAATCGAATCGTCCTGTCTCGTCATTGGTGGTCGGCCAAAGGCAACGCTGAAATGGTGATCGCAGATAAAGACAAGATAGTACAGCCTCGTTCGCAAATAATGGCTTCGCTCTCCCTGAAGCGCCTTGAAAATGCTGCGATGCAGCTGAACCTCCGTCGAAATCCTCACTGCAGCCCCTATACACGTCCATGAAATGCCGCTAAGCCAAAACGCCCCAATGCAGAGTGCTCGGATGTCATCAACAGTGTTCCGACGAGAAAATGTTTGCGTTGCGGCAATGGCAACAAACTCCTGGTAACACTTTTCAAAGTCCGCGGCGGCCAAGTGAAGCGCGCCTACAGTGCAGATTGCTGCAAGCAGTAATGGGGAATCTGCTCGAACTTCTGCCAAGGTTTTACGATCTCCAATGATTCTGTACACGAAGTGATCGAGACGATTTTGATATATGTCAAGATATGCTTGTGCCTGCTTCTCGCCAATAATGCCACGAGTAATGATGTCTTGTTCGGCTCGGTTCTGCTCGAAGCCAGGGATCGTCACGATGGGAGAGATGACGGAGCCAGGTATTGCGGCCGGCCCAGAGTCGGGATCCATCACGAGATCATAGTTATGCGGTGTGTGTTTTTCGGTGTTCGGTGAAGGGCCTGTCTGATGTGTCCGTGAGGGGGTGGGGACATTGGAATGATGAGCTTCTGCCACACCCAAGTCTTCGTCTTCGTCCATGGCTTCCTCGAGGATCTCCGGTAAGGACAGATGATTTGCGACTTTGCCAAGGGCTGACTCCAGCACGCGGATTTTGCGCTCCATTACTTCCTTCCATGTGGCGTCACTCTCTAAGATCATCTGTAGACTTCTGTTGACGGTACAGGAGAGTCCACGTTTTCGACATCTTACGCACGGAGGCTGGCCATCGCGCATGTTACATTTGATCTTCTGCTTCCTGCACGCGACACAGGCGGTAATTTTGCGCGTGATATCAGGCGGCTTTCGGTCGCCAAATTGCTCTCGCAGCGCCATAATCGCTGGCGCAGAGCCGCCGCCCTCCATCGTTGCGGGCTTCGGAGCAGGCGAAGGAAGGTCGACTCGAAATTTATGCACCGTTTGAGCCATGAGGCCGTAGATTTGTGCTTATGACTGCCATTGTTGTCTCGGCCCCGAAGAAGGAGGTGAGTTTTGGGCTTCTCTGAGCGTCAAAGTCAAAGTCGGAAGCTGTGAGATGAGGTGTGGCGAGCTGTGCTGGGAGCTCCACGCGTGGCCTGAGAATTACATCCCAGTGCCCTTGCTCTAGCGCGACTGGCAGCGCCAGCAAGTCTGATAACAGAATTGTTCGCATCAAAGCACACAGGTGTGGACGCCACATGCGGTGCGGACAGCATGACTGGATGCCGTTCAGTCATCTCGTCGTCGCGTGTTCTGTTGCAGCTCCGCGAGCCATTCGTCGGCGCACACGAGCATCTCACTTTCGTCGGCAAAATGTAAAACGAACAATTTGCTTCAATGACCATGATGTCCTTGTAAGTTGTAAGACACACTGCCACTGCCAAGTCTGCTTCTGCACGGTAGACAGCTCCGGGGTCCTTGCCCCAGTCGAACGATATTGTCCTCCTACTAATCAGATAGCGAAAGTGTGGCTGCTCGAGAGTGTAATGGCTCAACTGCATGCCCGAGTACGAGGACGAGACAGTCTGCTGATGCAGCCTTGAAGATTGGTGCCATTCCTATGTGTCGGAGCAGTCAGCCATTGTGACACAGCATGTACTCCACGTCTGTTCATGTACATTCGCCTAGCAGCAACTGCCAGTTCTGCACAAGCGGGACGGACTTCGCGGCCAAAGTTAGTCGGAATGGTTGGCCGATGAAAGCGCTTCGCGTCCCGGTTTGACCTCCCGAGTTTCCAGATTTGTAGGACTGTCTACTTGCGGACAGCGAAATGAACACTCGCAAGGACCGACGATTGTTGCTCTCTCGACGCGACCTTGGTATGCGGCTATCTCGCTCGGCAAGACAGCGTGCTTTGAACACGCCGCGAGATGCAGAGATATGAGAAGCGAGGACATACTCAAGCCCATGAGCAAGGCGTGCCGTGTTGGTCACGGTTTCGACTTTGCTGCCCGGCGGAAGACTGTCTGCGTGGAAGGCGAAGCTGAGATGTTGTATTGCGGTGAGAAGCTCCAATTGTTGAACAGCTGTATAGCGGGGCTACATTGTCTCAATGCCTTCTCTCGTCCACTCTGGGAAATCCAAGTCCTTACGCGGCGTGCTCATCATGTTGCTGTGAGCGTCAGTTACTTCGTCCAAGCCTCAATGATAGAATAGAACTCTCACCGATCTTTGATGTACTCCTCAACCGGAAGCGTCTCAAATTGTGACCTGTCGCCGATCTGAATACCACGACTTTGGATCAGTCGGCCATATTCCATGACCCGTTGTACAAATTGCTTCCGATCAATCTTGCCGTCTAGCCAGTCGACCAACGTCATTACATTGAAGGCGGCTTGGGAAGTCGACGCCACTGTGTGAGGTCGGAAGCCAAACAATGCATCTCCTACAAAGCACACCTTGTCTCCCATGTGCAGGGGCTTCGGAGAGGCTACATCTGTGATGCATTGCACGAATGGTGCTTTGGACTTTTCCGCCATCTCTGCCATTTGAGGTGGAAGACGATCGCGAGCTCTTGACTTGATCATCTCCCAGGCTTTTTCGTCGATCATCCCGGGAGGTATTGTGATGTGTCGCCGTCGACCGTCCTTGTCTGTCAGAACCTTTTCAAGTTCCGGCCCGCCCTCGGGAAAGTTGGTGTACCACACGAAGTTCAAAAGGCGATGTCCTGGCTCTGTGTTGCCGTTCTCGCCCGCAATGGTATATGTCAAGTTCTGTATACCTTCCGTGTGATAAAAGCAGAAGCGCTCCCGAAAGACATCTAGCGCCGCCTGGGAGGCTTCTGTCTCGGGAAGGGTGCCTCGAACCACGACATATCCAGTATACTTCCTTTCAATGTCAGGATAGAGCATCTTTCTTACGGTAGAGCTGGGTCCGTCGGCGGCAATAACGAATTTGGTGGTGAGTTCCTCTTCGGCCTCGGTGCCATCTTCATTTCTTCTCGTGAGTCTCACCCGTACATGCTCGCCTTCGTCTTGAACACCGGTCACTGTACAGCCGTAGCGATAATTGATCTTGCCATCTGTATCGCGCACCTCGGACAAATGGTGACCTTTGAGGTAATCCGAGTCAACACGATCGTAGTTCGCCCGAAGTAGGTAGTATGCGAGGTCCCAACTCGTCATGTTCTGGCGCTGTTCATTTTCGTAAATGATTTCTCCCTGCTGGTTGAGGTAAATTCGTTTGAATGAAGGAACAGCAACAGGCTTGCCGGTGCGGTCATAACGCTTGAAAAATTCGATTGTGTCGCCTCCAGCCACTATTCCAGCGCCTTGGTTATCCAGAAGGTATTGTGGTGTTCTCTCAAGGATGGTAGCTAGCGGTATCAGTAGTCCATTGGGTGATGTCAATCGCGGCAGACCTACTGTTGTAGCCATGACTTTTCAATGCCACGCCTGCAAAGAGACCGCCTAGACTTCCTCCAATCTGCTATTTCAGTGTTTCGTGTCAAGCTTGCCGGGTTCCAGCATGCAACCTACGATTACAATGTCGGGCTTGTGTGCACCGGACACACCATTGGCTGCGTGACTGTCTGCGGACATGTTGTGTGATACCCCTCGAGATCAGGTTGCTCTTGGCTGTGTAAGCGTCGCGGATGATGTCTATGTGCACATCCTAGCAAACGTCATGGAGCTGCCCCACTATGGCTCGGCCAAAAGGTTCGTAAATTCACCAGTTGCAGTGCCGATACGCTAAAGTTGTCTGTCAGGAGGTTATCGACATAGGCAAAATCTATGTACGCGCTTCGAGCGATCTTCTGGCGGCATTGAAATTCACAGCTTCAAGGTCTAACACCCACAGTCAATGTCGCGGCGCTCGCATGAGATCCGCTTACGAAACAATACCTCGCCTCTCATAGTCTGCTCCATGATAGCACACGTCCGAGCAGCGTGCACGCACTCAGAGCAACAGAGAGAGAGAGAGTCCTTACCCGTGGAGCAGTCTGTTGCTTGGGCCGTCCATCTGTTCAATTGGTACTGATCACCTTGGGAACTGACAGACGCTGTGAAGACGAGCCCTGAATCTACTTCCCAGGCTCCAGCGAGTTGCAGTATTCGGCCTGAGCGGTGATCCCCTTTCGTTCGTGACTTGCAACATGGTCTGCTTTGAAATCCGAATTGGCGAAAGATACAGAACAGCCGGTATAAACCGACTGCGGCAATTTTTGATCATGTTCGGCCTCTGGAGCACTGCGGCGCCTTGTAGTGTAAAGTCTTCCCGTATCCTGAGAAGGCCTCAGCATGCCGCCTTTCTTCGTGATGAACGCAATGGCACGTGGAGGGCGAAGCGCCGACATTTCGAGCATCTTTCGGAGGACCGTCTCATCTCGAAATTTGCCCTGCGGCTCATGCGGTTGTCCAAGGAGATCATAATCAGTTGAGCATGGAGATGGGGAAAGTCTGCTCGTGGTTGCCATTTCCAAATCGACGTGAGAAATCGCCGCCTGGCGCCGATGCCGACGCCGACGCCGACGCACGTGCCCTTATTCCCTGGCCACCTCGTGCCACGTCTCAAAAACGACAACAACATCGGTCCGCGTCAACGACGGTACAATGCCATGAAGTTCCGGCGTGTTGCATGTGAAGATTGCAATGTCGAAAGTGGACCTCGCACATCTCTCGGAGAATGCACAACATCAACAAGGATGACAACGAAGAATTGCCGCGTTTGCCGTCACGCTTTTCGAGCTGACTGTCAGCATGGACAACGTGGATCGAAAATGAGCGACGGTAGAAAAAGCTCTACGACCTACAGGCTCGAACGCATGATGAATAACAGTACCATGGCACAGCAAAGGGTTCACCACGGTCAAGCGGACGTTAGGTGCGAGCCGTGAACCACGCCAACCATCAGCGATCCCACCAGCGCAAAGTCCCGTCTGCCACGGCTGTCTTTGACTTTCAGCCAATGACGAAGGCCAGGTCGAGACTTCACATTGCTTGACGAAGGATAGGCAAGTCCTCTACGTGATCTGCAGATCGAAATGAGGCAATGCTTGTGCGAATAGAGGCACAGCGACTCATTCGGAGCCTCAATGGGACGTTGCCGCTCTGCAGAGGCACATGTCATCAAGCATGGCATAGCATCGCATCGCAAAAGAATGCGGTTAAGCTTTGGATAGAGTTCATTTGCCAGGTGTTGTGGAGGTGTGGAGATGCGGAGATGTCGAGAAGGTCGCCATGACATACCTCATCAGCAGGAGGCATATGGCCCAGATTGCCCTCAAAGCCGCGCTATTTCCTGCTAGCGTCATGCGGCCTGTTGCGCACGAAAAGCACAGGGCGGTGCGCGCGACCACCACGGAACTGCCGCAGGGCCCATGTCACGGAAATCCGCGCTTGGCATGCCTTCCGCGTGAGGATCGAGGAGCAACGGACTGTTGCGCTGGTGAGTGCTTTTGCCGGGTCTTTCGCTAAAGGCTAGCCAGTCCCATCTGCTGCAAACATGTAAGTTGACGACGACATCCGCCGTTCGCAAAGAACGTCCAACGCCCTTCTCTACACTCTACGGTTGGCATCATCTAGCAGGTCGCGGAAACCTCGCTGCCGCCATTGACAACGCTCGACTCTGGCCCTGTGATCCACGCCACTCTTTACTCTTGACGGACGTGAGCTGCTTGCAATCGATCGCACCTGCAAAGCGCAAATAGGAGACTCTCATGGATTCAGGCTGGAGAAGCGCGAACGGCTACCATGGGCTCCCTACGATGGCTCCAGCTCAACATGATCCGAGATATCGCCAGCAAAGTCCGCTACAGCAGACGTTGACCTTGTCGCCGCAGCTGTTGTTCTTGAGCCAGCCAAGTGCATCAGGAATCGCACAGCAAAGCAAACCTCAGGACACTAAACCAGTGCGCTGGGAGCATTCTTCGTACGATCAAATGCGGCGGCAAAGTGTCGCTTCCAATGTGTCGTCAAGGTCGTCAATGTCCAGGAGGCAAGACAGTGGGTCGCCACCAAACTTCTCGATCGACTCCAGAGGTAGCCCGGCATCTTCATCTGGCGAGAGTGCTTCTTCTTCGGTATCCAGCCATATCGCGGATCTCAACGAAATGAGTGCAGCGCCGTTTTGCAGCTCTTTGACTGGAATATTTGGTTTGACAACGGAGTGTCTGGCTTGCGGATATCGATATGATTCTGTACACGAGCTGGCGGATCACCAAAGAATGGTGTATGGCATGGCAGACGTGATCTTTTGAACCTTTGATGTTTCATGTATTATCCTCGGTTGAGCTCGGCTCCGGTTATGAAAGCAGGCGTTTAGGGCAGAGCGTTTGATGGGGGCATTGTACCATTACGCGGAGAGATACCCGATCACATTTTAGTGTATGATGATGAGAGGAGCGAAGGAGTATGGAAGTTGCATTTGTAAGGCGCAATATTGGTGGAAGCACAAGAGGCTGCACAGTCAGTTCTTGGCTCGAGGGAGAAGTTGCGATGCAGCGACATGGGCAGATGCCAAGCAACAGTATGCAAATTGTTGCTACACCAACTTCACCTTGAACCATGCGCCCAATGTGCACAATTTATTGACATGCCCTCACTGCCTCCTTCTCGCTAGTGACACCACGACTGCATTGTTCACGATGCTGCCATGTCTAGGCATTGCCGACCAGTCCTTGCCCAGAGACATTCATGAGACACCTCGGCACTAGAAAATGTCGATCGCTACCTCTACGCCATTGGAAGCGAAACGGCTTTTCTTCCTTTTCAAGCACTCTATTAGCTGCGGGCCGACCACGATCTGCTCCCGCCCCCGACTCTCCGCATTCTATGGACTCGTTCGCATCCTACTTTGGCACCAGCCAAGATGGCCGCACCTTGTATCATTTGTATACTTTGCAGCCCACGCTATACGGCAGCCGAGCGTATGCGTTCCTTCCTGAACTGGCACGAGGCCACGCCACCTACATGCTTGACGGCCGTTAGGTTCTGCCGCACTTGAGGCTTGACTTCGACTCGCACATGCGTGATTCGTTCCTCGTTCAGACTCGAGAGTTTATGCAGGAGGCAGCTGCATTTTTGTCATTCATCATTATTGCTGATGGTATGTCGTGACGGGCGTACGAAGCTATCCGAGACTGCGACCAAGTATTGTAACGAGACGTCGGTTGCAGTGGTATAACTAAAGAGGGCTCTCCGACTCTCACGCTCACAGCTTCGAGGTCCTGATTTCAACCCTCCTTGACAAACATGCTGAAGCAGTTTATCCTGCCTTTGCTGGCAGCGACAGCCTATGCCGCTCCACTAGACGAACGACAGTCTGGCCCGACAGTCACGATTGCCAATGGTACATTGATTGGATCGTCCTCTCAAGGCGTGGACAACTTCAAGGGCATTCCCTTCGCCCAAGCTCCTGTCGGCGACCTTCGCCTGAGAGCACCTCGACCCCTCGCTCAAGGCTTCGGAACTCGTCAAGCGACACAGTCTGGAAGGGCTTGCCCACAATTCTTCCAGAATGTCGACAGTGGTGTTTTGCCAGCCGATGCACTTGGCAAGCTGCTAAACACGCCACTGTTGCAGAAGATCACGAACGCGGGTGAAGACTGCTTATTCATCGATGTTGCGAGACCTGCGGGCGCAAATGCGAACTCGAAACTTCCAGTGCTGTTCTGGATCTATGGAGGTGGATTTGAGCTCGGCAGCAATGGTATGTACGATGGCGGAAGTCTTGTTCGCAAGTCGATCAGCTTGAAGGAGCCGGTTGTCTACGTCGCTGTCAACTACCGCGTTGGCGGGTTCGGTTTCCTGGGAGGCAGTGATCTCTCGGCAGAGGGCGGCAACACGAATCTCGGACTTCGAGACCAGAGGCTGGGTCTTCAATGGGTTCAGGTGAGATGATGTCAAGTGGCAGTAGAAGATTTTGCTGACTTGAAATAGGACAACATTGCACAGTTCGGCGGTGATCCTTCGAAGGTCACTATCTGGGTAAGCACGTCCGCAATCATGGGAGCTGCATAATACTGACTGTCTCGTAGGGCGAATCTGCAGGCTCGATCTCAGTCTTCGACCACACAATCATCAATGGTGGAGACAACACCTACAACGGCAAGGCTCTCTTCCGAGGCGCCATGATGAGCTCTGGTAGCATCATCCCCGCCGCGCCCGTCACAGGCACCAAGTCGAATGCTGTGTACAACACCGTTGTGAACGCTGCAGGATGCTCTTCAGCAGCCAACAAGCTCGCCTGTCTTCGTGCCCTGCCCTACGAACAGTTCCTCAACGCGGCCAACTCCGTTCCAGGAATCTTGTCCTACCAAAGTGTCGACCTCGCCTACCTTCCTCGCCCAGACCCAGCCGATAACTTCTTCTCCACATCACCAGAAGCCGCAGTCAACAACAACGCCTTCGCCCGCGTCCCCATCCTCGTTGGAGACCAAGAAGACGAAGGCACCCTCTTCTCACTGGCACCGGCAGTCAACGTAACAACCAACGCCCAAGTAACCAAATACCTCGCCGACTACTTCCGCCCCAACAACCCCAACGCAGACAGTGACGTCGCAGACCTCCTTCGCAACTATCCGAACCAACCTCTCCTCGGCCAACCAGCTGGTTCTCCCTTCCGTACAGCCGGTCTGAACAGCATCACACCACAGTTCAAACGCCTGGCCGCAGTCCTCGGCGACATCACATTCACTCTCACTCGCCGCGTATACCTCTTGACGATCCAACCAAAGGGCATCAAGAGCTGGACATATCTGTCAACATACCTCTACGGAACACCTGTACTGGGCACGCTTCACGGCTCGGACATTCTGTTCTACTTTGGTCTTCTTGGGGATAATAATCCAATCACTAGTCGTCTTCAGACATACTTCTTGTCTTTTGTCAACCACTTGGATCCTAACACTGCCAGAGGAAACCAGATCGCGTGGCCAGAGTGGACTCCCACGTCGAGAAGTATGCTCAACTTCCAAGCTGCAGGCAATCAATTGATCAAGGATGATTTCCGGGAGGCGGCCGCCCAGGACTTGTTGGCTAGTCAGACTGAGTTTGTCATTTGATCGGTAGACTGAAAAGCTAGGCCGAGTATGACTTGGGACAATTTGAGATTGAAATTGTTTTGCCTTATTACAGTATACATTTCAACACACTATTTTCCTCGTACCCTGTTGTTCTGTTGTGTCCCATCTGTACTTTCACCAGCGCCACGCTGCTGAATGCCCAAGTATGTGATCTCCAATCCTACCCAGGTTCTGTGCATCTCCCTCACATTGCGTATATTCATTACGTTCCGACGTCTCTTTCGTCATTTCAGTGACCACTGACTAGTGCTCACAGCTCGTGCTCAGTACGGTACTGCTCAACCATGGTCTGTTCGAGTTTAGGGTGGTCCTTGCGTGGCTTGTAGTGCTCCTTTACGAGCTGGCCGAGACGCTTCTCCATGATATCACGACCATCTTGGGTGTGCCACACGTAATGGGGTGCCTTGTTGACAACGTCCCAGTGGAGGAGCTTCCCGGTAATGTTGGTCAGATCGCGCTGCTTAGATGCCCATCTGTCATCGCTACGAACACGAATGCCGGATGAGATGACGACTAGAGGCGTGTCTTCGGCCTGAATTGTACGTGCCGAAGAGATCTCTTGTCGCGAGAAGGAGTTGGCGACGAGGTTCTCCTGCAATTTGGCTTTGATGAACTTGCCGCCGAGGTATGCTGACTTGCCGTAAACGCGATCATCTCTTGTTTGGCCGCCGAAGACAGCGCCGAGGATACGTCGAAGGCCGAGAGGACTGATGACACCCCAGCCCCAAATCTGGAATCCAGAAACCGGCGAAGCGAGCTCACCCAGGTAGTCTTCGTGCAGAGCGTCGACCAACATGATGCCGACCACCTCGCGGAAGTTTCTTGCGCTGAAGATACGAGAGACAATGCTGCCATAGCCGGCGGAAACGAGAATCCACGGACCTTCCTCGCCTTGAATGGCAAGCGCTTCTGCAAGGTTGTCTGCAGACATGCCTGCGCTGTGTGGTGAAGGTGCGTTGTCCGACCACGCGTATCCTGGACGATCCCAATAGCAGTAGCGATCGATCGTGCCGTTCTTGTACGCAGCATACGCCCAATGCTCGAAGTCGTATTCGACGGGGTCCTCAGCCGACTCGATCAAGATCGTAGGATTGGAGTTGCCATTCTTGTCTGTGGTCTTGTTGCCAACGCATGCAAAATGGACATCGTATCTGCCACTGTCAACACGAACACGCTCGCCGTCGAAGGCGAGACCAGCATCCAAGCTGCGAATAACCAGAGTCGCTGTCATGAGCACAGTGATAAGGACAAAGATAACGAGGATGGTCGTCGATGCGAGGACGGCCAGCCATTCCTTGAGAGTCCGCCTGGTCTCTGGGCGACCAGTCAGGCGCTCCTCTTCTTCGCGCTTGGCCCACGCAACGACGCGGTCAGTGGAGATGCACCAGACTGCCATCAGTGTCACCCATACGACACTGGCAATGCCTGGAGCACCCTCTTCTGCGCGTAGTCTCTTCACTGAGACGATAAGGATTACATTGACTACCAGTACGAAGCCCAGAATGCCCTGTGTGACGCGCATTGCGAGGCTTGGAGCCGAGAAGAACAGGAGCGAGTTCAACAGAATACCGGCTGCCAAGGTGGTGTATGAGAAATCGAAGAAGCCGGAGCCACGAGTGTGCAGTCCTGGTGGCGAGACGAAGATGCTCACGAGCAGGAGCACCCACCACAGGAATGTCAGGACCAGGAAGAGGATGGTAAGATATCTCATGAACCGGACTGTCCATAGATTATACGGCGACACCTGCGTATATTAGCCATTGTGCCACACGTCTCTAAGGCTTGACACCACTTACAGCCGGATCGTCTGGGTCAAGGTAGCCATCTGCGTGTGGTGGACGTCTGTTGTCTGCTGGCAGCAGCCTGTCTCTCTCGGTGGGTTCCCTCATTCTGCTGTCGTCGAAGTCTCGTCGACTGTGTGGGCGACTGGTGCTTTCGCCGTTCTGCTCTGGGTGGTCGTCGTCCTTCTTCTGCTTCGTGCCCCACAACGACATTATCCTGCTTCCACGCTCTTACTGCTCTCGCACTGTCGCCGCCGTCTCGTCACGCCGATGCAGCCTGCAAATGGAGGGAAGAGGAGTGAGGAAGAAGTGGAGAATGTAGCCGCCTACCTGGAGCTCTTCATGCACCGCCCACAGATGCAGAAGACTCGGCCAGAGCTAGCAGTCGACCGGGTGGCTGGCGGCATCGTGCTCGATGGACTGGTGATCTACAACGTCATGCTGGCGCTTTGTGGCTTTGTGGCACGAGCTCCCAGTCCAGATCGGTGGCGCTAAAACAACAGACGCAGAACTCAAAGACAAAACAAGGAAAATCGACTTCAGCTCGACTGCCGGTGTCTGTGGTGAGGAGCCGTACCTGTTTTCGCTGACAGCAGAAGGATGAAGATGTGGAAAAGCAATAATGCCGTGAAGAACATGGGAGCCTGGCTGTAACTTCGCAAAAATGGACAGTCAAGGTATCTTTGATGCCTCAGGCTGTAACTATAACAACTCCTGTGCTGTACTCCCTTCTCATTCTCATTCCACCCTCTGGGCGCTCTGTTCTGAAAGGACTTCTCGAAACTCCTCTACTTCTCGGGCATCTTCATAGAACGTCGCGCCCAATCTTTCCAGTAACTCACACCTCTCCCTCATATTCAAACACATCCTCATCATCTCAGTGCCTGGTAATTTCCGAAGAATCCACACTCCGCCCTCCCCTTCCTTTCCCGGCCAGCCAACTGTGATCCCATCCTTTCCCTCCATCTCCGTCATTTCGTCGAATCCGATCAGTTTGCGGATGTAAGTATCCTCACTTTCCCACCATTTCGCGCCTAGTAAGCGAAGGCGACGGCAGAAAGCATCTTCTTCAGTTTGATCAGAAGCGCGACGTGCGGTTTCCAGCCGTGGGATGCTGAGATACTCTGCTACAGCTATGTCAAGAGGTAGCATCAGGACGCCACCGCCTGAAGGGTAGCCAAGAACCTTGGGAAAGTCCGAGTCGAACCTCGTGCGGTCTCTGGTAGAGTATCGGTTTTGATCATCGGTGGGACAGGACCAGTCATCGGGACTCCGTGGCTCCATGCCAGTGGCGATATTCGACCTGCCAGGGAACGTTCCACGATTGGTGACGAAAAACCCCAGTAGTACGGCGGTGGTGGTGAAGGCGATCAAGTACCGCCCACTCTGCAAATTTGTGATCGAGGGGACTTTGTCCCAGCAGCACCACAAAACAAGCCCACCGGCTGTCAAGTAGGCCGCAGATACTAGGTAAGGAAGCGGTATATTGAGGTTCAACATGCCAGAACGTCGCCTTTCGTGGAGCGTTGGCACCGAATGTGGAAGTAAGTGCAAGTTTTACCAGTGATGGGGGTAGGTGTTTCCTGCCTAAAGTATCTAGATAAATCAGTGGTAGGCAGCCTATGCTCCTCAAAAATCCCGACTGTAGCAACTAGGCGGCTCTTGCCATTACAAGATTGGCTGTACTCGTGAGTATTTTTACGACGACTTTGTTGGTGGCGGTACGCTTTGCCGCCAGCGCTTCATGAAACCCGCATTGCACTGTGCCTCAGGAAGACTAATCCCTGATGCAGCAAGAGACAGTCGTAAGTCAGAGGATGTGAAGTGGTCTGTGCAGGAGCGGCGCGGAGCGGAGAATCACTCATACCGAGGAAACTCCAGTCGTCTCACCCTCTCCTCTTCCCCCATTACTGCTTTACACCTCAGCAATACAGCCTGTCCGCATCGACATGTTTCCTGAAGTCCACCTGATGCTCCAGTCGACACTTCTTCTGTTGGTAGAACCCTCAGAATGCCCCTTGAAATAGATCCCCAAGCAAAGCATCGATATTCTCAGGTCTTTGGCGCTTCCACGAACTTTGGCAAGCGGTTACACTGATTGCGCCGCATGCGCCTCACGAAGGATGCATCGACTATGCATCGACTATGCATCGACTATGCATCGATCAAGACCAAGGCGCAAACAGCAGCTCTCTCATTTGTTGCTGTCTGACTACAGCAACATCATGTTGCCAACACAAGAAGAAGTGCCATTTGCGGACACTGGCACTGTCAAATGTATAAAAGACCTTCGTTTTGAAGTTGGTTGATAGAATGTTGTATACATTGGCAACTGGTTTGCTTCCCTCGTTCTCTTCAAGAACCAAGTATACAAGGCGACAATGCCACATTACATTTTCAACCTCCTGTTGCTTTGCTTGACTACGAACGCCATCCGAATTCCTATCGTCTTCCAGAAGGCAGCCTCTAAAGAGCTAAGGGCTAGAAGCGAGCGAGGCGTCGTCGTCCGGAACGACGGCCTTCCCCCGATCGTAGCCGCTGGCGGGGAGACGTACAGCATCAATCCATCCGGAAGTCCAACCACGCAGAACAAGATGGGGACATATCTATACGGCTGGGAAGGATGCCAACCTGGCCAAAAGGTAGGTGGCCCACTTGTTGTCCAAAAAATTGAGCTGACTCCCCCGTAGGACAAGATCAAGAAGGCTTATTACGATGCCTGGACAATGTCGAGCCTTGACGGTGTGAAAGCTAACATTGATTGGAACGAAGCTGCGGCTCTGGAGTTCCTCGGACCTCCTGGCCTGAATAAACCACAGCAGGCTCAGATTCAAGCGGTACTTGCCAATATGGCAACGGTCATCTACTCCTACATCAACCCTTTCACACACCCCTTACACGTGCGGTGTGACGATCCAGGAAAGCTATGTCAGAACCGCTCTAAAGATGACCGTTGTCAACCAAAGTCTTCCAAACCGGTCGACAAACCCGAGAGACTGCCCAATGCCTACTCCAAGAATACGGGCTACAGCGATGACTACCCCACGATAAACTTCTGTGAGGGCTTCATGAAACTGCGAAGTCTCGAAGATGGTTACAGTTATGGCAGTGCATTGACTGCACCTGCTAGATACGATATCGACCAGTACAACAACCGAGCTACGACCTTCTTCCACGAGTTGACACATCTAAGCCTCGCAGCAGACTCCAAAAATGGTCGACCAAATCCCGATATCGACGACTTGATTATATCTATCAAGGTTGGCTTGACTCGCACCAGCGTCTATCCTGCGTACGGCGGCATCGCCACTAAATTGGTGGCTCGTACCACACCCGACCCAGGCTACTATGTGCAACGAAACGCAGACAACTTTGCATTCTTCGCACTGGCGAAATATGTCATGTCTAGGAACGGCAACATATATCCGCACATGCCAGTAATTCACTACGAGCTCAGTGGGCCACCCTGGAAAGCCAAGAAGCCTGGAAATAATCGCGTGGTTGTCTTTGGCAACGATGGACAAGGCTTGTATCTGAACGCAAATGCCACAGATCTAAGCACACTTGACTCTGAGCTGCCTAATCTCGGGGACTACCCTACCTGCGGGGATCGTGCAGACCAGCTTAGCGGGACAGCTATCGCTATCAACGACCTTGTGCCTATCACGGCATACCCGCCTGACTATGTAACCCAGCAGAAAACATGGCTGCAAGAACTAGGGGGTCCCGAAACGCCACCAAGCACCGATGCGCCACCGAATACCAATGCCTGCCATGGCATCAGCGGCGATTATTGGGTCATGTCTCGAGACACTGCGGTTGACAATGCCAAGGACTTCTGCTCTCAGACCGACAGGACGAAGAGATATAATGCCGGATCTGTCAATGAACTCGAGCTCTCAGTCAAGAAGCTCGACGACGATTCCAAAGGTCCCAAAGATGCCCCAGATTGCCTCGGACAGTTCCAGAATGCGGTCATCGACGGCTGTGACGGAGCGGATACAGTCAACAATCCTCACAACTACAAATTTGGTTCGACGCTGATGGCTGACGGCTGGGAGTTCAAGATGACACCTTTAAGTAAACAAGTCAACGAGGTGAACTGCGATGTGTCATACAAGTTCTGGTATAACCAGGTCGAAATCCGTGGCAAAAACCTTCCCGATGCAAAGCTGGGTGCCAATGGCGAGGGTCTTCGTAAGGAGATCGATGGCTGTGGTGCTCTGACGAAGTGGAACTTTGAACGGACACCAGATGACTGTTGCTTCCAATGGTATGCCATGGCTCACTTGAATATCGGGACAAAAAATTGCGTCGGACGCGCAATCGAATCCGCTGGCGGCTCTGGAAAGGGCAACTGTCATGGTCCTGGCAAACGTCAGGTGAATGGAACTGATGCCATTGACAACTGGCCAGGGTATGGCGATGCCAGTAAGCATGTTTTCAAGACCAAGGCGCAAGTCTTGGAGCCGCCTACTGGAGGAAGTTGGTAAAGAAACCAGGATTCGTGATTTTCATGCTCGTTTTTGTTCTGCTAGAAGACTTATATAGAATAGAAAAGCAATCAACCCCTTCTCTGACGCTCGGAGGAAGACCGCAAGACAGAAGACGCAGGCAGTTCCCCAGCTCCAGTTCTTCCTTCCTCGCGGATCACAACGTGCCAAGATTCACTTTGGTTTGTGCCTCAGGCCCAAATACTGCTTTCTCAGTCACCAAGCAACGCATCAACACATATCTGCCAGAAAATTCCCATTCGCCTATCAGGAAGAAGTCACCACTTCCGCCACATATCGGGCGAAGGACCTGACATGTGAAAGCTTGTGATGCAAGTCTGCGCTCACTACCACGTCTAGATCTGCTGTGCTCCAATGATCCGCGCAACACTCACATTCGAAGCGAAGCTACCCATAGCTCGCAGTCACAATGTCGGATCTGTTTAGGGAGAAACTGTCCAATCCAACTGCGACACCGCAGTCACAACCACTTGGTCCGCCTGCGCGGCCCAGACCAAGTCCAATCGCCACTCCCGCAATCGGTAGCGTTTCCTTGAGCGACGATTATTCATCCGACTCATCAGCTTCATCAACTGCCAGTGTGGCAACCGTGCGACCTTCGTCACGGGAACAAGCAGCCCCGCCGACACACTGGACACAATACTTTGAGCAAGAAATATACCTCGAGCACAAGACGGAAGACAAGGATGCTAGATATCATGCATACCTGACGCCCCCAACCGATCCCCATAAGGGACCTCTGTTCATTTGCCATCATGGTGCTGGGGCGTCAGCATTATCGTTCGCTATTTTCGCCAGAGAACTTCGTCAGAAGCTTCCTGCGGCGGGCATTCTCTCGCTTTCTGCACGTGGGCATGGTTCCTTGGTTATAGATCCCGCGACTAAATCTGAGATCCTCGACTTCTCATTGAACTCCCTTGTCGAAGATGCAATCACAATCATCGAACTCGTCTCTGCGCAACAGAACTGGCCGAAGATACCTCCATCAGTTCTCCTAGGCCACAGCCTCGGCGGGGCGGTCGTAACAACCATCGCCACCACGCACTTCAGAGCTTTCGGTCCCAACCTAATAGGCTACTGCGTACTTGACGTCGTGGAAGGCTCCGCAATCGAAGCCCTTACCCACATGACAACCTACATCGCTTCTCGTCCGAGCACATTCAACACTATCGAAGATGCTATCGCTTGGCACATCCGATCTCGTACCATCCGAGATCAACGCAGTGCAGAAGCTTCCGTCCCATCACTGCTCGTTCCCTCACCAACGGGAACTGGAAAATTAGTCTGGCGCACCGATCTCTCAGCCACGCAGCCCTGGTGGGAAGAATGGTTCAAAGGAATGTCGGCAAAGTTTTTGACAGGCAGAGGAGCGAAGATGTTGATCCTGGCTGGTACAGATCGTTTGGATAAAGAGCTCATGATAGGCCAGATGCAAGGCAAGTTCCAGCTCGTGGTACTTCCGGAGGCAGGGCATTTCGTACAAGAAGACGTACCAGAGAAGACGGCGGGCCTATTAGCTGAGTTCTTCAAGAGGAACGACAGGAGTGCTATGGTGTTGCCGCCGAAGGTCAGCGACCTTATTGCACAAGGAAAGAAAGTATGAGAGGTCAAGACTTGGAGTCTTATGCATAGAGTCAAGCAGGGGAGAATGAAATCACAGCATTGACAGAATATAGCATCATTGGTATGGAGCATATGAAATGGCATGCATTTGATCTGAGGCTATTCGCAATCATCAGAAATCGGCCGTGAAGCGTGTGTCTCTATCCCAAAAACTCCTTGGTCCCCAGTATATTGTACAAGAAACAGAATGGATTTCCAATAAAATTTTCTCAGTCGCGGATATTGTTTTGCTCAAGCGCTGCGCTGCATCCTTAAGCCGTCATGGGCAGTCACAATATGGTTGGGTGTTACAGTGATAGCTGCCGGCATCGAATCAGTATAAGTCGCAATCGCTAGAGGACGTGCAACCTCACCATGCATCAATTCCCTCTCGGCATCCGAATTCCCACCTGCAGACTGCACAGACTGCAGCGTCACATGTGCTTGGGGCGTTTTGTTGCAGCGGAGGTCCCTTCATCACGACGCCATGGCCTGGGAGCGCAGTGTAGAATGGCCTAGGCTCGAAGACCGGCGCAGGCGCTTTTGTGGCGGTCGCAGGGAATACGATATCGTACAGGGTCCGTGTCACAGTGTAGTGGATCGTGACTGTCTGAGAAGCTTCTGGCACTGGAATGTATGCCTCGCCGATTGGCACTTGGTGGCTGTCGTATAAGTTGTATCGAGGCGAGCGTGGTGACGTGGCGGACACGTGTGAGGAGATGGCAAGGAGTGTGACCAAGCAGGAGTTAAGGCCTGTGAAGTGCATCTTTGATGTGTGTCTTGTGGTAGGGAATGACTGGTAGTGAGGCACGATGTGTTACACCACAGAATAGTTCGCAGGTCTGGTTCGAAGGAGTGGATGAAACGGTCAATGGTAGTGCAGGAAGTGTGCCATTGGGGAGAGATATAACGGCTCTGCCATTGAGATGTGAAACACTTGCCGCTGCTGTGCCTCTGAAGGACAGAGACTGTATAGTGCTGGTGGAGCGACCTGTCGGTAAATCTGCTGGACGTACTGGGGGAGTGAGTTCCAGGCGCTACAATGCCGCAACCTGAGAGGTAGAAAGCTCGCATAATACATGAAGTCTAGCATTACGCTGCAGCATGCTTGCAGGACTAATGTCAAAGATATGAATAGCGCTTGCTTCGCCGCTCGAAAACGTCGGCGTTATAGAGCTTGTGGAGACGACGATGTTGGTTGATCCTGCTGCCGGCAATTGAGAGCTGGTATACAAGCGCTCGAACGCCGCATGCGCGCAGCATGCAGATGAAGTCGTTTATAGACCCATGTTGGTGGAGCTTCGGTCGACAATTCGGAGCTCTGCTCCCAGCGCCCCCAGCGGCACAGCACGGGTGAACAGCGCGTAAAGATAGACGACCGCTGTAGCTGCATTGTGCCATCGCCTGGACCACTCCCCGAGGACAGGCATCTTGGTAGTGTGTACTGCACGGGCGTCAACCAGGGAAGACGTGAACGGGTGGAGTGTCGCATCAAGAAGGACGTCGTCTCCGGTGAAGTGAGGCGCGTGCTTAGAGGGATAAGGCGGACGGTCGCCGACAGTTTTTCCGATCCGAGGCTTGGCACACAGAATTCGCTCTCTCAACTTCGGCCTCCAGAATGAACGAGCTCGACTTCTTGACTTTCGCACGCCCAACGACAATCCCTCTACCCGTCCACCACACCACCCAAACACCGCAAAAATGGGTCGCGTCCGCACCAAGACCGTGAAGAAGTCCGCCAAGGTCATCATCGAGCGCTACTACCCAAAGCTCACCCTCGACTTCGAGACCAACAAGCGTATCTGCGATGAAATCGCCGTGATCGCCTCGAAGCGCCTGCGTAACAAGGTAAGACAGTGCCTGAGCATCCTACACTCCTGGAATATCAATCGCTGACCATCTCTTGTCCACAGATTGCCGGCTACACCACCCACTTGATGAAGCGTATCCAGCGTGGACCAGTTCGCGGTATCTCCTTCAAGCTGCAAGAGGAGGAGCGTGAGCGCAAAGATCAATACGTGCCAGAGGTTTCTGCCCTGGACTTCACTCAGAACAGCGAGAGCGGACAACTCGACGTGGACCAGGAGACCAAGGACCTCCTCAAGTCGTTGGGCGTACGTACAATATCGCAGCACATTCGAGAAACAGAGGGACATTTGCTGACAATTGACACAGTTCGACAGCATCCCAGTCAACGTCGTTGCCGTCCAGCAACAGCAAGTTGCCGAGAGGCCGCGCCGCTTCGGCGACCGCCCACCACGCAACTAAGTCATTTTTATGGCTTCTTGCTGGGACGCTTTACGACAAATTGGGAGGTTTCAGGCGTTGGCGTTCTGCTGCAGTGCGACCACTGCTATGATACCCATGCCTTAGCTACTAGCTACTGCTCTACGGAGCGCAAATGGAGTACTTCCTCCCAACCAGGTGTCGCTGAGTCTGCTGTAATGGCGACGAGGCTTGATTGCCAATTCCCCCTTCCCACTTTTCCTCTTGCCAGACGTCGTAATGTCGGATTGATTTCTAGGTGTCCATGACTATCGTCTGAGTACGATGGCAACGTATTCCCACATGTCGGCGCACTTGAACCATCCGGACTGCACCGTGAGCCCTGCGCCTTGTCTCGTCATTGCTTCGCTGCCACTACATCTCTCGTGATCCGACCTGAAATCTTGCTTGCTACTGTTCACTCAAACTGCAAGCCCACGTGCCTGCGCAGCAGAGAGCTTAACCTGCTCATTGTTTCGGAGCGCTTGGGTCTGCTGGTCAAGTCGGATGTCTGCGAATGTGCACAATCATGTCTGCGAAGCCCATGCGGTACTTGCCACCTTCCAACCTACGATTAAGACAGAAAGCGGCGAACCATGCTCATATGCTCCGCCACCGTGGCCGTTGCGCTGACAGGCTGGAGGTCAACTCGTTGGCTTCACGCTTTCTTGGGCTCGATACCTCTGCCCATAGCACGAGCAGACTTCTCGAATGAACATGCAGCTCGGAGATATCACTGAAGTTACGCAATCTGTATTTGTTCATCTTCATATCCAGCGCATTTAGCGTGCCAGTTGCGGTCATAGATGTGAAGCAGGCAAAATTTGGCTGGTCCGGGGCGAAACGGAGGTGTGCGGTCGTACCTTCCTCTACTTTCCATGACGTGGTCCGTGCCCATTCTAAGCTCCGTGGTTGATCGCATCAATTTTTACATCTCCATCTCCCTGCCATCATTCATCCTCTGCAATACCTTCACACCCTCCTTTCCATCATCGACATCTTCTCCCTCTCTGCGTGTACTATAGTGTGTTAATACAGCAAGGATGCTCTCCTCCAGATTGATGCGGAATGTGAGTAGCAGCTCATCGCAGCCATCGCCATCACGCGAGCAAACAGCCGAACTGACATCAACCAGGCGATTCCGCGCGCATCACCAGTCTTGCGATCATCAACACACCGTGCGCCACTCACATCGCAATTCCGAAGAGGATATGCAGAGGACACAAATGCCGACAGCGGCAAGGTGAAGGGCCCCATCATCGGTATCGATTTGGGTACCACCAACTCTGCCGTTGCTGTGATGGAGGGCAAGTCGCCACGTATAATAGAGAACTCGGAAGGTACGAACACGACACTACACACGATGTTTCAGGCGCGATGGTTGCTGACAGCGAGGAAAAGGTGCACGAACAACTCCGTCCGTTGTCGGTTTCACAAAGGAGGGTGAGCGATTAGTCGGTATCGCCGCAAAGCGCCAGGCCGTCGTCAACCCAGAGAACACCCTCTTCGCTACGAAGCGTCTGATCGGACGAAAGTTCAAGGATGCGGAGGTGCAAAAGGATATCCAGCAAGTGCCATACAAGATCGTGCAACACACAAACGGTGACGCATGGCTCGAGGCACAAGGACAAAAGTATTCTCCATCGCAGATCGGAGGTTTCATCCTCGGAAAGATGAAGGAGACTGCTGAGGCTTTCTTGGGCAAGAACGTGAAGAACGCTGTTGTCACTGTCCCAGCTTACTTCAACGACCAGCAGCGTCAGGCCACAAAGGACGCCGGTCAGATCTCTGGTCTTACCGTGCACCGTGTGATCAACGAGCCTACTGCTGCTGCGCTTGCCTACGGTCTTGAGAAGGACGACAAGGTTGTCGCTGTCTACGATCTTGGTGGTGGTACCTTCGATATCTCCATCCTCGAGATCTCCAACGGTGTTTTTGAGGTCAAGGCTACCAACGGTGACACTCACTTAGGTGGTGAAGATTTCGATATCACCCTGGTCCGCCACCTTGTCCAGCAATTCAAGAAGGAGCAAGGTATCGATCTCTCTGGCGACCGCATGGCTATCCAGCGTATCCGTGAGGCCGCTGAGAAGGCTAAGATTGAGTTGTCTTCTGCCGCTCAAACCGACATCAACCTGCCTTTCATCACTGCCGACTCTTCTGGACCAAAGCACATCAACACCAAGCTCTCCCGCGCTCAGCTCGAAGGTCTTGTGGACCCTCTCATTAACCGCACTGTCGACCCAGTCCGCAAGGCTCTCAAGGACGCCAACCTGAAGGCCACCGATATCCAGGATGTCATCCTCGTCGGTGGTATGACTCGTATGCCAAAGGTCACTGAATCCGTCAAGAGCATCTTCGGACGCGAGCCAGCCAAGTCTGTCAACCCAGATGAGGCTGTCGCCATCGGTGCTGCCATCCAGGGTGGTGTGCTTGCCGGTGAGGTCACTGATCTCCTGCTCCTCGATGTCACTCCTCTATCGCTCGGTATCGAGACTCTTGGAGGTGTCTTCACTCGTCTGATCAACCGCAACACCACCATCCCTACCAAGAAGTCGCAGACATTCTCCACTGCTGCTGACTTCCAGTCTGCTGTCGAGATCAAGGTCTACCAGGGTGAGCGTGAGCTTGTCCGTGACAACAAGATGCTCGGAAACTTCCAGCTGGTTGGTATCCCACCTGCCCACCGTGGTGTTCCACAAATCGAGGTCACTTTCGACATTGACGCCGACTCCATCGTCCACGTCCACGCCAAGGACAAGTCCACCAACAAGGACCAATCTATCACCATCGCTTCTGGATCTGGTCTCTCTGACTCCGAAATCGAGAACATGGTCAACGACGCCGAGAAGTACGCCGCCGCTGACAAGGACCGCAAGGCCGCCATTGAGGCCGCCAACCGTGCCGACAGCGTTGTGAACGATACCGAGAAGGCCCTGAAGGAGTTCGAGGACCGCCTTGACAAGACCGAGGCCGACAAGATCCGCGAGACCATCAACGGCCTCCGCGAGTTCATTGCCACCAACCAGACCGGCGAGGGCACTGCCACTGCTGAGGAGATCAAGGCCAAGACCGACGAGCTCCAAAACGCATCATTGACCCTCTTCGACAAGATGCACCGTGCCCGCCAAGAGGCTGGTGAGGCGCCAAAGGAGGGTGAGCAATCGAGCGAGCAGCCAAAGCAGGAGGGCTCCGAGGAGAAGAAGCCATAAATGACCTGTGAGGCTGTTCGTTTTGTTTGATGTGTTCTTATACCCCCGCGACTGTTCGCTAGCGCGAATGGTCCAGAAAAGCGTCGATTCCGGCAATGTCTTTGCTTGTACGAATACATGGTCGCCAGAAAGGGAAGCTCTGCGCAGATGACACTTGCAGACTACTAGCTGGAAGACGCACCTCATGTTTTTAATGTACCACATACAGAAAGATGTACAGAAGGGGAGCAAACTGGAGTGCGGCGCCTGGCGAAACCTGGTAGCATTTCGCTCGCATCACATACATTCTTGTAACATGATGATGATGGCGGTTTGTAGCATGGAAGGAAGTGAAGAAGAGGATTGGTATGAAAAATTTGTAGTTTTAGCGATTCTTGGATGTGTAATGTCACCAAATCTCTCTGCTCTGATAATACTTGGATGTCTCTCTTGTCCTTCGTCTCTCTCACTTCGAACGAATTCCTGAACGTTCATCTTGCCTACCAGCGAAATCGTATGTGACACACGATTCGTTTTCCGTGTGAAGCTGGACTTCGCTGTGTCAGCAGGCGGCAGAACGGCACGGGGCTGCAGGACTTTCTATTGTGCACCTCATTCCAGCTCCTCTTTCCCAACGACACGCCTGCAACCAGCACCGGAACATTGTGTCAGCCTCTCTACTCGCGGAGACAGGGAAGTCCTCCGTGTCTCTCGACTGACCGGCGAACACAGCCATTCAAACAGCGAGGTAACATCAATCGGAGCAAGCGAAGTGGTTTGTGGCGCATTTCGGCCCCTATGAATAGCTTTTTTCGCGTCCAGAACTGGAAGATTTGCCAGGCACGAAGGATTCGCGTGCACGCGTCTCACAATGCGCAGGAGACATTTCTTCGCCACTGTTTGATTCGATGTCAGCGGTTGTACATCGTGGTGCCGAGTTTCCGTTTGCAACTATTTCTTTCATCTGGTTTCCGCTCTTTCTCGCTGATTTCTGTGTACATTGAATTTTGATACTTTCAGGAACCGAACCACAGTCATTCGTTTGATAGAAGAGAAGCGTTTCTAGACAAGGAGAGCATTTACAACAGAAACGGAAGCGTTGCAATCAGCTCAAATACGACAACATGTACCGAGTCATCTTCACCGCTGCCTCTGTGGCCACTCTCGCTTTCGCAAAGACCGACATTGCTGGCTGTACCTCTAGCGATGTCTCCTCTCCAGCCGGCGCGTCGATGATCTACTACGTCCCAGGCACTGGAGAGATCTGCGAATTCCTCGACTGCGGCGGCGGTCGTGCTCCACCAAAGACCACAGTCCCAGGCTGCCCTCAATACTCCGGCACCGAAACCTACTCTCCATCTTTCCTCCCAGGATACGGCGCCATGGAGACAGGTTCAAGCGCGTCAAGCGCTGCCGCCGAATCGACTTCCACCGCCTCTGAAGCCGAAGCTACCACAGAAGAGACTGGCAGCGCTTATGCACAGATTACCAATGTTGCTACTAGCTCCCTCGCTACAGACTACACGAGAACTTCTTCGTCGGACGAGACGACTCTCATCACCAGCCCTGCTGCGTACACTTCAGCAGTGGTCGGAGGAGGAAGTGCAGGCAACGGCACCACTACTGTCGGAGGAGGTCGCAACAATGGCACAGTCACCAGCGGTACCCCAAGCCTGCCAGAGTCAACCGGAGCAGCAATGGAGGCAGCCAATGTTTGGGTCGGAGGAGTCGTGATGATGGGTCTCGGAGCCGTTGTCGCTGCTCTGTAAGCGCCAGGAACATATCGCGACGCATACGAATCTCTTTGGCATAGTGGAGCGCAGGAGATGTTAAGGTATGCATGTACTCACATCGCTCCTGGCAGCATCAGCATACACGCAAGGTCGAACACAGCACTGGCGAACATTAGCATCCATCTTAATTTTGCATAGCGAGGATACCACGAAATTTGAAATGATGATCATCGTCATGCTTACGAGGCTCTTTCATTCTTCAACCAACGATTGCTGTTGCCATTTCCATTTCCATTCTTCAAAACAACTTGTAGTGTACACCTCGCAGTAAATCCCATGCTGCCCACACCGTGAACGCAATACGCCTCGCTAAACCCGCAAAACAATTCTTGCCATGTGGTCTCTGTCTCTCTGATGTCGTGCCAATAAAGAGGCCCGAATATGTCCAGCCAGGAAACCCATGGCACCAATATAAATGTTAAGGGAACATCTTCTCGTAAAAATGCTCGCCAGTCTCGAGGATTTCGACCTCCTCTCCAAGTTTGAACACTCCTCTGTCGAACAAAGGTATCAACGACAATCCAAGACACGGATGGGGCTTGGCTCCTTCATCGACTTGTCGTGTGCGTCGTAGTGTCGCTCCAGGTTCGTTGCGGTCCTGAGAGAACTGTTAGCTACATATTCAAGACGCAACAAAAGACAGGAGTGCACACCTTGATACCAGTCTGAGGATCCACGTTGGGTACATTACACCTGGCTGTTCGACACGCTGCATGATAGACACCAGGAGATTGAGATTTCGTGTCTTCGTTTGCTGCGTTGCCAATTGCTATTCGTTTCCAGGAGTCTTCGGCATAAGCAGGCGTTCCAGATATATATATGTTGGCTCTGAATCTCCGCGCGTCCAACTGTCCCTTGGCGACACTGCCTTCAGGCATCAAGTCATCGATGTCCCGAATGCTCGCCATGTTGAGGATGTGTACTGAGAAGGCATCGGGAAACCCTACTCGGAATTCTTCGCCTTGGTGGTCTGCTGGAAGACTTCGCGAGATCTTTCGAAGCTGGTTGTCGTTTTGTCGAAAGATGCCCAGCGGGTTCCTCGCACCCAGAAAGTGTTCAAGTTTGGCCAACGTACTTGCTTGAATCTCATTTGTCATATTCGTGGCAAGCGGACAGTCTGTCCAGATGGTGAGGTGCTCTTCGGTATACTGTTTTGTCGTGCTGCGCTCGAAGGTCGGGTTCAATGGCAACTTTATTGTGACGAGTTCTGTGCTTGAGCTAGCACCAGCCTCGGCGCTGTAAGGAAAGCGAACGACGACACATCCACCATTCGCTGGCCAACTCTCAACTCGATCGACATCTGCCTCCTCGTCCAGCTCTTGCAGATTCGGCAACCACAATTCTGTCTTAAGTAGCGAAAGCTTGGGGAACTCCCGCTGAGTTACGAAGCGCCATTCGTGGCCCGTCTCTGTCGGCACCAGTTGCGCGAAGCTGAAAATCCGATCACATACCAGCCCAGTCGAAGTAACTCCTGCTCGTTGCAACTCCACTCCTCCGCAAGACTTGATCGGATACACAAAGATAGCCTTTACTGTTGGCCGCTGTTTCTCGTTCCCATTACTGCCGATTAGAGGTGCTTGATACTGATCCTCGAGCTCTGATCTCCCATAAATCCCAAATCGAAAGCATCCTGGCACATTTTCGCTCCTCTCGGTCTCCTTTCGTTCTTGCAGCAGTCGCCTCCTTCTTTCTCTCCAAACACCGAAGGCCAAGGTAGAAACAAATATCACAGCCAAAAAGCCTTTCCAGGAAGTCAAATACGCAACGTAATGCTCCAAAAACGTTCGGTTCTCCATGATCGCGTCGCAGAAAGAAGTCCAAAGTCCAGTCATCTTGGCTGCTCCTCCGCACATGTACTTCTTCAATCAATGAGACCAAAATTATCGCCACGCTAGCGTCGGTCCATGCGGCCTGCCGGCTCCCTCGTGTGTTTCAGTAATCCCACCAGACAAAGTGAAGGCCGAAGTTCCAGTGGTCAAGAGAGCCTGGTCATTTTTCGTCTAGGCGTAAGCTCAAGGGTGATGGGTAGGACAGGGCTGAGCTCTGTTGGAGGAAGCGGCTAACAGTTTGGGTAGAACTCTCCATTGGAGAAAGTGCGGGAGGATTAACTAGTGGGCAGGCATGCTGGTTGCCTGACTTTTGGCGTAGACAAGATCGTTCCTCACTGCCGCATTGTAGTCGAGTTGCAGGTATGTAGAAGTCCTTGCAATTTTGTGCAGTGCAACAGAACACGAGAGTAAGCACGGCTTGCTTGAGGTTGTGAGGTTGGGAAGCCACAGCCAAGAACTTGTGCGCCCAGGATATGACGAATGCGAAAGGCAGTGTTCCTGAATGCCACGATTCTTGGAACATCACTCCTCCTTCGCGTGCTGGCGCGCACTGTGCACATGCGTCCATGCTGGAGGTGATCATTGCCAGAGCTAAGCCACGAGCACGGCGAAACTGTGACGATCTGCACACATCGCAACCCTAAGTGTCAGCACTAGGCAGGATCAGGAACTTGTCTCAACCCGGCAAGGTGGCATGCATGTTGGACAGGCAGGAGACAGGCACCCTGGCAGGGATAGTGTTGAGGCATTGCAAGATGTAGCTGCTTATACAGTGTAATGGTAGATATACGCCTTGTGAGCCTCGATTGACCGTTCTCACAGGAATCACCACTCTACCCATTGAGAATGACATCCGCCGCCTTCTCACTGACCATCATGATCGGAGCCTGAATAAAGATTCCCGGAATACGAGGGAACACACTTGCATCGACAACTCTCAATCCATCAATACCATTGACTCGGAACTTCGAGTCGAGGACAGCCTGATTGTCATTCTGAGCCCCGATAGGTGCCGTGCAACAAGCATGGTGACCCCAAGCCTCGTCCTTGACGTACTGAGCAAGAGCTTCATCAGAAGTTACTGCAGGTCCAGGGCGATCTTCTGTGTTAGGCGTGCCCCCAAAGAAGGCGTAGTTTTCGTAGCGATCTAATGCCTCACGAGACATCTTGATCGCTTGAACCATGGCCGCGACATCTTTGACATCTGCGCCATTCTCGGTAGTGCCTGTGTCGAAGTAGTTGAAGTTGATGAGAGGAGTGTCGAGAGGATCGGTAGAGCGAAGCTCCACGGTACCGGCCTTGTTTCTGGTGTGCGCCTTGAGCGTGTACCATGAGAAGGCGTTGTGGTTTGCGACAGCAGCGTCGCCCCATCGAGGGAAGTACCTGAAGCGATCAGCTTGACATTGGAGAAGAAGACAAGGCATGGTCAACTTACCCAGTGAAGTTTACAGGACCTCCGAAAATGAAGAGATCAATGTTGCTATCATCTGCCGTGTCCGAGTTGACAGCCATAGCAGCTGCCAAGCCATTGCTGGCATAAGCACCACGAAGACCCAGAAGACTTGGATTCTGCTGCCATTGGCGATAGCAGCGATCTTGCGGCTTTGCATCGAAGGTACAGCCATCTAGCAGAGGGAAGTCGTTGGGATGTCTGGCATTCACAGGAATTTCGTATCGATCCTGCATGTTCTTTCCAAGGCCTGGGACGTCCTTTACAACAGGAATACCGAATCGCTGTAGTTCGGCAGCAGGACCAATACCCGAGAGCTTGAGTGTTTGGATGGAATTGTAGGAGCCTCCGGCCATGATGACTTCCTTTCTTGCACGAGCGGAACCAGGAGTGCCAGAAGCACCACTCAGAGGGCTCGCGCGGTAGAGATGCTTGCCGGAAAGATACTCTACTCCTGTAGCTCTTGGTCGCGCACCGCTTCGATCGAACACGATCTTCGTTACGTGAGTGTCGGTACGGACAGTTAGAGGAAACCCTTGTTGTACTGTGTTGACAATACGCTCGCGAACGCTGACTCTGGCACCTCCTCGTTGGATGAGCGGAATTTGGAAGAAGCCCTCGAGTGAATCGCGGCCAGGAGTGTTGTTTGGATCTAGGAGAGCAGTGAGGAAACCAGTTGCACCAGCAATTGGATCTGGTCCAACACCCATGACGGCAGCACCTCCAGCCAGATGCTGAACAAGCATAGTATCTCTGGCCAGAATGGCTGGGTCTGTTGGTCCGGTCGGTTGCCATTCGTACACTTTTGCCAAGTATTTGTTCATATTGGCGCTTGACCAGGACGAGTCACCAGTAATGGAGGCAATGTTATCCCAATCCGAAGCATGCGGCGTGATCCAGATGAGTGCATTGTGTGATACACAACCACCTGCAACGATCAGCTACAGAGCTGGATCCTATCTCGTTAGTACTTACCGAGAGTGCCAGCTCGTGGATAGAGAATGCCCTTGCCCTCCACATATTTGGAATCTCGGCGAGCTCTGGTCTGGTCTTGGTAGTGGTTCACGTAGATATCCCATGCAATCTTAGGATCCTGCGTCACGGCAGCTTGATAGCCAGGTACAGAGTAGCTGTCATCACTGTCAGCTACAGTTCTCTCGGCCAGCCATGTCGTTGGCATACTTGTAGTTTGCGCCCTGATCATCTCCCGACTCAATCAGAAGAACAGACTGCCCAGCACGAGCGAGCCTCGAGGCTAATGGACCACCTCCAGCTCCAGAGCCAACGACAATGTAGTCATATTCATTCGACTGACGTTCCTCAACAACAGGCACAGCTGCCACGGTGGCTGCCACAGCCAGGACCAACGCCTTCGTGAAGCCCTTCATGATCGAGCAAAGGCACAACCAGGTGGTCAGCCACAACAAGCGGCGGGGATATCACCATCTTTATGGCCACTCAACGACAAGCAGCCACAAGCATCACACATACCGAGCCGAAGGAGCGAGAGATCCAACTATCGTGTGGAACAGAGCAAGTCGACACGAAGATCGACACTATCGGCCACGCATCATGTGAAGACCAATCCCAGCATGGCAGTAAGTCCTTAACAAAAGACCAATGAAGCGCTTCGTTCGTATAGTCGCAAAAAATGCTAGCTTCGTCACTTCCGCGGTGTGCTGTGGCTAAGAGAACAAGCTTTGCCTCGCGCAGAGGATAAAGCCAACCGGCGCCTCTCCCAGAAACGCCTCATGGAGAAAAGTTCTTCTTGGCTTTCGCGTTCATTTGTGGCTTCGTTTGACGAGGCGCCGCTGACTGCAGCAGCAAGTTTTCCTCTCATGGTATTCTCTGGCATAGCTTTGGAGACATGGAACGTACTGATGATTGATTTGGGAACAGTGCAGTCGCCGGATTGGCGCCTTCATGGTGAAACTGTCAAAATTGGCACGCTGCCCATTTTGATGACATCGTCCGAGCGGGCTGGGATGCGGAGATGTAGTCAGAGTGCCTGCTCAGTGTTGAGAGAGGCTTAGTTCGCGCAGCAGACGCCCAGCGTTTTCATCACGGCCGGTTTACTCACGATCAAGTGAGATCGCAGACAATAGTTTTGCATAGTCTTTAGACCATCTGGTTCCGCACGTCTCGATCGGACACAGAGTTTGATATCACTGATGATGCCCACGTAGCCACGTGCATGCAGCCAAGCTTATACCTCCACCTCCACGTTCCTGTGGTCACGACCGTCAGGTGCATCATCTCCGCAAATCTATAGAGATGCCTCGGATTGAGGATTGTGATCCAAAGAGGCACTATTCGCTTTAGGCAAGCAGTGCGCTCCCTCGTGCGACTCCAGACTACCACTGAAGTTCACTCCAGCCATACACAGAGTTCACGCTACCATAGGGCTGAAGTGGTTCTCCCAGAATCGGGTGCCGTCAAGGCACTGATCGCGACATAGCGTGCCTGTCTCTTCGGCCATTTCCAGCTCCTCGGTGGCCACACCTACGCTCCAGCCAAAGCGTTCAGCGGTCTCGTGAGCAGTGACACCTTTGCCAAAGGAAGTCTCCAAGATCTTGTCGTGCGTTGGTGGATCGAGTACCGCCTGCTCTCGCAACCAAGCGAGGATTGTTGCAATAGTCTTCTCGTCGGACCGACTGCGCTCTTGCACCACAAGTAGGCCACTCTTGAAGCGGCGTAAGCGCACGGGCATGTGCAAGCTGTCCCACATATTTGCTGCCTTCTCAAAGTCGAGTGGTGACACAAGCTCGATGCCGTTGCGGGCTTTGTTGAATACTTGCCACAAGTCAACCAGTGACATGATGCCCCCTTCTTTACGGAGCACCCCTTTGCGATCATCTGTGAGAAACTCGGCCAGGTCTCGTGAGAGCTGTGTGATGTAGAGCTTTTCGGCAGAAGAGCCCTCGCCCAGCATGTCTTTGGTTGTCACAAGGCCAAGCGCTGATGCAGAATCCAAGATCAATCGTTTCGTGTCATCGCTCGCCGCTCCATTTGCTTGCCTCGCGAACTGTTCAGCCATTTGGATGACTTCTTTGGCGGAGGTCATTAATGCCTCAAGGTCCTCGAATGCAGTGCCAATGACTGCTTGATTGTTCTGACGCAATGCAGCGCCACGCTGCTCAAGTCCGGCAATGCCCACTACACGTGGGGCTGCACCTGTTGGTGGCAAGTTTCCTCCAGGCGGATTGAATGAGCTACGAGACTGTGGAGGCGTGGCCCCAGGCCTGGGAACCGGCGGCGCGCTCTGAAGCAACCACTTTCGTTGCACCAATGCTTCCTGGAGTCGCTCTAGGAAAACCTTTTCGCCGCCAGCACGGAACGAGAATTTGATGGTTTCAATTGTCTGGTCGTCGACAATCGAGGAACGAGGCAAGCTTGGCCCTGGCGATTCTGGGCGTTTGAGAGAATCCTCAACAAGCCGTGAGGCACGGTTGGAGCTGGGTCCGAGAGGAGCTGAGCACATCTCACAACTCGTCATGCCAGGATAATTCTCGTACGTGCATCTTAGGCAGAGGTTCGATGATGGCGCTGGCGTGGAAGGGGACGAGCCATACGTAGGTGATGAGCTCGCGTCCAGAGAGTTGCGCGCAGTGCCAGGTAGGCTGTCAACGGGACCGCTTGGACGATTAGACATTGCTGCAATCGATGCCTTGATCATCAGGGCGAGCGGTGGCTTCACGCCGCACGCTTGACACGCTGGCAGCGGCGTGTACTGATTCGCTGTACCAGGATCAAAGTTGAGTGGCACCGAGTTCGACATGCCACAGATAGGGCAAATCCAAGTTGCATTTGGATCTGTCATGGGCGCCGGAGAGGGTGCAGACCGAGGCGACGAGCCATTCTGTCCGACTAAAGCATCGGCTGGCGATGGATAACGGGGCACAGGACTGCGGATACTGTTGAAGGCAGTCTTCTTTGGCGTCTTTGGAAAGAGCGTGATCTTGGCCGACGACTTCAGGAAGCCAGCATAGAATTCAGGACGATCAATCTCCTTCAGATCTACTGCGACCGAGTACTTTCTTGGCTCGGTGTTGTCCACATAGCAGACGCGATGCGAGGTCAGGTACGCGTGGCCGTTCTGATGGTTTGGAATTTTGTATTTGCCCTCATACAGGCCGACGCCATCCTGTACGAACAGCAGAGTCTCGTCATCGTATAGTTGTGGCCGGAGCGCGGTCGTCAGTTCCAGGTGGCGGAGAAACATTCGCAGACATAGGGACAGGCGACCAAGAAAATGGGGAAGCGCGTGAAGTCGTGTTCAGTTAGGGCTGTTCTTGTGCAACGCAATTGCCGGGGAAATTGATACGTGAGCCGAACGATGATGGAAAGGAAGAGACGAATATGGCGGGTTGGCGGCTACCACAGTATCTTCAAATGCAGCAAGCCGTGTGCTCAACAGTGAAGTGAATCGTCACGCTGCGAGCCAGAGCAAGATGTCATCGAGGAGCGAAAGATGTGCTGCCTCAGGCTGTACCAGGGCTGGGCTTGGCGATCTGTCATTTCGATTCCCGGCCTTCTCCACCTCCTTCCTCCCATTTCTCACCGTCCTTCCTGCCTCGACTGCATCGCCCGTTGCCCACACCCGCCCCGCGACTGCAGACGACGACTTGGAACGCTATAACACTGCAGCTTTCTCCGCACCAACCTTCCCTTTCCTCCATCACACTCTCCTCTAGCGACATCCACTCCCGCGAGCGACGTTCTGTTCCAGCCACCTCGGCAGATTGCTTTGTGCCGTCGCAATCTTGTCTCGAGTCCGCCCTCATAGTCCACACGTCGCCAGCTTCACCACCGTAGAGAACGCGCTCGGCGATGGCAGTGCAACCCGCGTACACGTCCGTGGCGGCGCGGCGGACGCTTGGTAGCGAGCCGACAGTCTCAGAGGCGAAGCCGAACTTGAACTTCCCTCCTGCGCTCAAAGCCTGGGTGGGGCGTGCCTTTTTCGAGTATAACAAACTCAAGACGGAGCCCGCCTACGCTGGCATCAGCGACGACCACATCAAACAAAAGTTATCCGCCACCATCAGAGAGACTCAGCAGAACGGGACCATGCACGAACGCGACTGGTCATCATATCCCCTGCCTCACCAGTTGATATTGGAAGAGCGCCAGCAAGCCGCCATGTACATGGCGCAGAACTCGTTACTAGCTAACCTGCATTCCGACCTCGGAGCATATGGCATCACGTCGTCTGGCGTGAATGGCAGGAAGAGGAAGTCGCCCGACCAGGAGATGACTGATTCGAACGGCCGCCCCGTGACTCCACCATGGAAGAAGTCGAACACCAAGAGTATAGCCGACAGGATCACCGGCCAGAGTAAGAAGCAGGAGAAGAAGAACAAGAACAGCGCGAAGAACGGCAGGTTTGACAACAGCGAAGCGGCGCTCGAGAGGCGCCGTCAGCGCTTTGGCAACATTTCACCCACATCTTCGCCGCCTCATTCTCGTGATGATTCTCCTGCAGTGATCGCGAGTTCCGGACCCATTGTCGGCACCTGTGAGGTGCTAGAGAAGCGATATTTCAGATTGACAGCTCCTCCTAACCCAAACACCGTGCGGCCCCTTGCCCTCCTGGAGCAAGCCCTTGAACATGTCATTGCCAGATGGAAGGATACCAAAGACTATACATATGTCTGTGATCAACTGAAGGCCATTCGGCAGGATCTTACAGTACAACATCTGAAGAACCAATTTACAGTTCGAGTTTACGAGGTGCACGCGCGGATCGCACTGGAGAAGAAGGACCTGGGTGAGTACAATCAGTGTCAGACTCAGCTTCGAGCTCTGTACAAGATGAAGCTGGGGGAGAACGGCGGCAGTGGTGGCAACCAGGATGAGTTCACGGCGTATCGTATTTTGTACTTGATTTACACGCGCAACCGGACCGACATGAACAACATGTTGGCGGATCTAACCACAGCAGACAAGAAAGGGCCCTTTGTGCGTTTTGCGTTGAACGTTCGAGAAGCATTGGCTGCTGGCAACTACCACAGATTCTTCAAGCTTTACAAAGAAGCACACGACTGGCGCATGGCGCCATCCTTGATGGACATGTTCGTCGAGAGGGAACGCGTCATTGCAATGGCCGCCATGTCCAAGGCGTAAGTCTCAGTAGTCTCTGTCTCCCCACGTCAAACGCTAACATATTGCTCTTCAGGTACAAGCCCGATGTAAGCGCCAAATTTATCACCGAGGAACTACATTTCGAAGAAGACGAATCGGAATCAGTTTTCGAGGCCGATCACATTCAAGCATGCATCGATTTCATCAAGCGCCACGGCGGACAAGATCTCTTGCAAGAAAAGGATGGCGACGTCCGGGTCTCCACAAGCAAAGCGTACGGCTTGTTCGAAAAAGCAAGACAGTCTGCGTTTGGAGTTGTCGACATCAAGGGCCAGATATGAACCCCTCCCCTTTGCTGCGCACGCCTTCTTCTTTGCTATCACTGCTCGCTGTCACACTAACTTCCACTAAAGCGACACCGCGAGGCGGGACACGTTCGAGCGGGTATCTCACATGCTCAAACGTCCTGGCGCCGGGTAGTCATGGCAGACCTCACTGCAGCACATACTTACTTCAAGCCACACCAGACGAAGACCGGCCGCCTGGAAGACGGGGGCATCAGAGGAATAGGTGCACAATGGCGTTTGGATCCATGAAAGATTTGCGATTGCGTTACTTTCAGTTTTCTGCTTTGAGATACCACTGCGGCGAGTGTTTTGAGCATTTCAGGGCATACAGCCGGGGCATGGAGGTGGGGTGTTCCTGCGTAAAGAGCTCGAGACCGGACACAGCCTCGGTCGCTGGAGCGGCTTCGCAGGATAGGATAGTCTCTCGAATGAAGACTTTTTTGATTCTGAGTTCTCTGCTGTTTTATCACCATCCTAGCATTATTATCGAAGTAACTGTATATGCACTGCGCTATCCCGCGAATGCTATACTTTATACTGCGAATAGCAACTGTTCGGCGCCGATTCTGCTGGCTTCCGCTCTTGTTACCAGTTGACCGGAGCATTTGAGATTCTCTTTCGGCTGTTTGTTGTGTATTCTCGCTATCGGAATGGACGTTTCTCATAACACCGCAGATTGGGAAACGACTGAACGACGTCTTGCAACGAGTCTTTTTGCTGAAATGCATTGCTAGGTACCAATACTTTGCAGTTGCATCATTGCTATGCACCACGGCACGGCAGCAGACAGGTCTATAATTGTTTCGGACATGCGTGAAGCTTTGTTGTTCCTGCAGGTTTGGGTTCTACTGCCGATGCACAGAGGTTCTCAGATGTCACATGGTTTGTGCAGGGTAGAGGCTGAAGGTTGTGCACGGGCGTTGTGGCCGCATGTTAGGTCGGGCGTTATTAGCCATGAGGTCGACTGTTGAAATGTCGATGTAACGTCTGGCCCAAGGAATGAGATGTATCGATCGAATCAATTACCGAATTGTCGTTTGGTCTACCGACTTCATGCCGTGGACATGGGTGGGAGGTAGAAGTCGCGATCATCGGTCGACTTCGATGCAAGCGCTTGCCAGGGACCGCCGTGGCGGGTCGAATGCTGAGCTGGGGCCGTGAGCTACCAACTGGCTGCTGGGCTAAGATGGTTGACGAATGGTGGAAGAAGGCGGCAGCGAATGCAACAAGTCATGCTTGCTTGCAGATGGCGAATCAAGATGGATGCGGAAGATGTCTGCACGACTGTGATCGATGAAGCTATCGTGGCGGCCATGCATGCAGAGTCGGGAGGCGCGGCGGCGTGCAGGACGATGCAGGCGTGGGAGTAGGAGAGGATTCTTGGGATTGGGCCGGGCGGCGCAGTGCGTGCATTGTCTGGTTCGGACGCACGTCGTTGGCGGTGGAGATGGGCGAAAAGATGCTGTGGATGCATCATGTGGGCGGGCTGTCTATTCGCGGTACTGGGTCGACGAGTAGAGACCCTTCGTCGGCATGTTCGAGAGGGCGTTTGCTACACTTCTTCCTCCTCACCTGCTGTCTTCTGTCCCTTGCCTGGCGCAAATAATACTGTAGTTCTACTGTACCGCACAAAGCCGCCGTCGCTGCAGCTAGGACGAGTTGCAGTCTGTCTCCCTCTGCGATCGTCATCGGCGCACCCACCCACAGTCGCTTCATCGATCCGCTGCGTCACTTGCGCTGCGAGCCTCCACCACCAAACGACGCTTGCCCCTCCAGCTGAGGAGTGCGGCGTGGTCGAAACTCCGCTTGCTGAGATACGAGACACCCGGCGCATCGTGCCATCTGCCGGCCGTCCTGGACAAAGAGCTGCCTGTCGCCTCATCCCATCATTGATTGTTTGTCCGACACACGTCTGTGACAGCAACATCCTCGGAGCCGTTATTAAGGTTCACTCCAGAGGGGAAACAAAGTCACACCACGAAAATTGCACGCTCACCACACGAGAGCACACGCGCCTGTCATACCAGCCCGACCAGCTGTCTCACGCGGAATCGACGACGTCGCCCTCTCGTTGCTCCGCCCCGCCGCCGCCCCGTGCGACTCGACGGGACGCGCTTGCCCGTCTGACTGCCCAACGCGATCGACCGCCCCGAGCAGCGAGCAGGCTGGGAGCGTGCTGAGCCACTTCCCGATCCAGATCCCAGCAGCGGGATATTGCAAAGGCCTGGCTCGCAAATCAATCACTTCCACCGCGCCCGACACTCGCCCTCATAT